ATCCTAAGGCAGGCATCCTTCTACACGTAAGGGCCGAAGCAGCATTCAACATAAGCCAATGTCTTGGGATAATCCTCAGATCATACCCTAAAGGCACTGTTCTAAACACACTCTCTGGGTGCGAAGCATACGTTCCATCAGAAGGTGCTATTTCAGCAACTGATTGAAAGTTAAAAATCTTTTAAAAGCATTCAGAAAGTGTGGGCTTATTAATGCATCTCCTAGTCTTTTACCCTGACATAAGCAATATCAAAAACGTCCCCTTTGACTCTCTGCCTTTCACTAAATCATAGGTTAGAAAAACAGAAAGAGACATCCCCAGATAAATGAAAGCAGTTACAGCCAAACCCAAGATGGCTGGAGAGGCAGGAAAGCTTCCAGAGATGCAGGAACTACTTCTAATATTTTCATAATCTGCCTTTGTTTTCGTCTTCCTATCCAAACTAAACCCTACTTAGTCCTTTACTGCTGGTTCCTCAGCCACCAAATTAGAACAAACCTAATGGACTTAGAATAAATTGTCCTTCAGATGTTTGAAAGGATGATAAAAGTCTTTGGATACTTCAGAGTGCTTGCAGAGAAAAGGGCAGACTGTCCTCCGTGTCACCTGCACGAGTCCTACCTTGAGGTTCACGTGCATGGTCAACTAAACTGATTCTCCTCTGAGCCTATTCTGAAGCAAAACAATGGGTGGAAAGTTTGGAGCAGGCTCTACTCCGCTGAAGTCTCCTTCTACCCCATGAGCTTTTTCCCTTCTCTCCTTGCTCATGCCAACCTGCTGGTGCAAGCTCCTTGGCTCGCTACGACCACGCTCTGCTTTCCAGCTACTGCCCACTTGTGATTATTTACTTCCCTCTTCAAACATCCAACGAATGAGCCAGATCCTCAGCTCCTATCATCTCAGGAACTCTTCTCACTCGTGTAGAGATGAGCCCCTCTACACCCACGGATCCCACAGTCTGAAGCTGATGCCATGTGGTTGCCCCCCCGCAGGAGCTTACGGAATCGGCCATGCTACGACAAACCCAACAGCAACAATAGCTGGTCATTATTGAGAGAAAATAGGCAATTCTTTCCCAGGTACGTTTAATTACACACATGTCTGAGCTGAAAATGGAAATAACTACTTTAATTACGATTAGTAATGAGCTAACACATCTTTGCAATATTTAATTATTGGACAATATACAAATATTAGACATTTTTCCGTGATCTTTTTCATTGCAATATTAAATTAATGACAAAAATATAACAGCAAGGGATATATTTGATACCCTGGTAAGATTACAAGGCTCCAACAACGTTAGCTACAGTTTCTATCTGTGTTGCACTTTCTTCTTCGGCCAGTGAAGGAATCACTCCCTGCTGCGTGACCCGAATACCGGGTTTGTTTACCTGGGATTCAGGAAAACGACGTAAACTCCTGGCAAAGAGCCACGCGGAGCCTAAAGGAAGGCTTCAGGTTCGTGCTCTGGATGTTAAAGAGCAAGACTGCCTCATCGGCGATGGCTGTCACCGCTGTCACTGAAACACCCTCGGGTGCAACATGTGAAATGTATTTCCCTTGGGACAAAGCAGTCGTAAGAAGATGAGAATAAACAGGCACAAATCTGCCATTTCCCTTTCGCTGCACGGCGACGTCCTCTCTCCCAACCACCCACGCTGATGGCTTAATGCTCCCCTGAACCCTTCCAGCTCCCGACAGCGCACTCCCGGGCCCGCCAGCCGTTTCTGACCCATTTCAACTTGCAAAAAGGAAGCTTATTTCATCATATAATTCCCCACTGTACCTTTCTGTTGGTAAGTGGGACCTGCAGGGAGATCCCATGGTGAATAAGTGACCTGCGATAGAAGTGACACCTACTATGGAGAGAGCATCGGTGGCTGGAGGGCCCCACGCTGCTGCTTTATGAAAGGAAAAGGTTCCAACACGGCTTTTCCCCTCTCATCCAGGCCTTTTTTTCTTTCCTGCAGGTTCTCTGCTATTTCCAATCCCCTTTTTCTCACACTGTTTCTTTTATCCTTCTCCCCCACTAACTCAGATGTTGTAACTCTTGCCTGTCAGGGATGAAGTTGCAGTTTGCTGCTGTTCAGCCCTGGCAGGGACGCCACAAAATACCTCTGGCAAGCCCCAGAAAAGCACACCGTGCACCCCAGTTCCACCTCTTGTCTTCCACCGTGTGCTCAACAAGCCAAGCCGGCACCAACGGAATGCCTAGCTTCCATGTACATCTTTAAAAATCCTGGATTACTTTTCATAGAATCATAGACTGGTTTGGGTTGGAAGGGACCTCAAAGATCATCTAGTTCCAACCCCCCTGCCATGGGCAGGGACACCTTCCACTACACCAGGTTGCTCAAAGCCTCATCCAACCTGGCCTTGAACACTTCCAGGGATGGGGCAGCCACAGCTTCTCTGGGCAACCTGTGCCAGTGCCTCACCACCCTCAGAGAGAAAAATTTCTTCCTTAGATCCAATCTAAATCTCCTCTCTTTCAGTTTAAAGCCATTGTCCCTTGTCCTGTCACTGCACACCCTTGTCCAAAGCCCCCCTCCAGCTTTCCTGTAGCCCCTTTAGGTACTGGAAGGCTGCAATAAGATCACCCTGGAGCCCTTGTTTACAATACAAATGAAGAGAAGATTAATCAGGAGAATTATCAGCATTTAAGCACAGTGCATAATTTTTCCTACTAAGTGGTGCCTTTGAAACTCATCTCATTAAGGATTTACAGAGTTTGAATTTTCTCTGAATACCATAGCTGGAATTCTGATGCATGTACCCCAGCACGAAGCACCACTGAGTTGCTACAACGAACACATGCTGGAGGATCAGAAAAGTGGCAGAAACAGTAAAACCTGTGCGTCCAAGCCTCCCGCTCGCCTCTTGGAAACACACTGAGAAACTTTTTAATTTAAAAAAAAAAATACATGTGTTGCTCTAACGCAGCTCAGTGGCTGCTATCACCGAGCCCGGCTCGGTTCATGTAATTCTGCGTAACAGATATCGCAATGCAACAATTCCGGGGAGACAAAGAACATTTTATGGAAAAAAAAACCAGATTTTTTTCTTAGTATCAGCATAAAGCAACAAAGAGAATAAAGCACACTACTACAAATTCCCGTGTGCGAGTACATGGAGTACAGAACACATTCTAACGGAGCTGGATTATGAGATTCGCATGGGTTTACAGGAAGATTATTTGACTTTGCACAATAAATTTCTATTCAGCAATCCACGTGCCCAAATTTAGGCCAAAACCGGCAGTTGACTGGAGCTTAACGATGGCATTTTAACAAGCTCCTGTACTTTTTATGACGAAAAGGTAATCAACAGAACAACTCTATTTTTGGCCCATTTCCCCACTGCTGTGATTTCCTCTGCAGCACGGAGAAGACTGGCAAAACATCAGACTACCCGAGAGAATATCCTGGGATTTTAAACTCCACTTGCCTTATATTTCAACATTCATATTTCATAAAGGTGCATTTCGGTCAACTAAATTAGTTTCATTTAAAGCAGGCCAGCCATAAAAAGTACATCCTGGTGACAAGCGAAAAACGCTGCTCTCGGAAGACGCGTTATTTGTTCCAAAGTGCACCTACTGTTTCCAGAAAAAAGCTGGAGCAGATACCTGGACTGATACTACTATATTTAAATGATTTGATTTTGGGTAATTTGCAACGCTTGAAGGAAAACCAGCATGATTTAATAACTTACGAGTGATTTCATTACGGATTTGTTAGTTTGCATAAATATTCAAGTAAACGTATCCAACCGTAAAATAAGAAGGTCCTGTGGAGAAGATAACGAGCACAAAGGACATCGTTTATTGATATGCTTTCGAATTGGATGCAAGTGTTGCTTAGCATGTTCAATTTCATAATAAAAATCACTGCTCCAAAAAGACAGGCACTGGCTCCACAGCAATTACTGGATTCAGTGGGATGCCAACCTGATCTAGTTGGAGATATCCCTGTTCCTTGCAGGGGGGTTGGACTAGATGGCCTTTGAAGGTCCCTTCCAGCCCTAACCATTCTATGATTCTATGATGTTGATTTGGGGGAAAAAAACATCGCGAGAAAATCAAGTGGGCAACTGGTGGCCACTCAATCCAAAATAAAATCCATTTAATAAATAGCATGAAATTTTAGAAAAGGGGGCGGGGGGGGGGGGGGAAGGTGTGAATTTAGATTTTAATGTGATCGAAGGGAGAGTGAAGTTCAGCTCCCACTTGAAAGCCTCGGTTCTACCAAACCCATACTGGTTGTGTACATCGGCCCAAACACTTACGGATTTGCAGCTCTGCAATCTGAACAGGAAGAAACACTGTGATATATAAATTTCAGTAGGGAACATCCTTTGTCCTTAGACCAAAAGCGAGATCCTGCATCTGATCTCTGAGAAAAGTTCATTCTGGTACTGAGAGCTTGGATCAACGTCCTAACGCCTGCGGTTCCTACTAATTTCAGGAGAAAGTTTGGATGTTCAGACCTTCGTATACTAAAACCGGGCAATAACACACCAACAAACACCAACTGGGAGGCTGTGGAGGTCTAAGTGCACTTTTTTACCTCACTTGGTCATTTTAAAATGGTCTGTTGCTACAGTATCCAAAGTCCCATTTCTAACACCAAGGATGATTAACCACTGCCCAGGGAAGCAATAGGTCTCTGTCACTTGAAATAATTAAAAATAACTCTTGATGACAAGCTCCATTTAAACTGGGATTTGTAGTCTTGGCACAGGAATAAGTAGCTGAGATATTTTTTGGCCCATTTTATAGAGAGGTCCCATTCAGCAACCATAACTATTTCTAATGATCTTAAAAGCCAAGAATCCATCAAAATACTATTAAATGAGCACATGAATTAGCAATTATTTAACAAGCAAAACACAAGACTATTGCAGACAAATTCCAAGTGTCTGCTACAAGAAGATGGATGGTCTGAGCATCCTGCTGGTGACAGTGCTGAGTGTCAGCAATATCATCCAGGCATCTCGCCCTGGTGGGAATTACCCAGTGACTCACTGCTACACTTCAAACACCGCAGTTGTTGCAACAGGGCTTTTGGTTTATCTACTATCAGATTTTAAAGCCATCGATTCTCGAGCAGAAAGGGTACAAGAGATTGGGTGCAGCACCAAACTACAACAGTGTCACATGATTTGCCACCCAAAGCACATCTGTTTGCTTGGTTTAATCGAGCAAGACGATAGAGCTGAGCACATTTTGCTTGGCTGTCAGAAAAGGAGAAGTTAGCTCAGCAAGTAGAACTGGCCAAGGAAACACCCTGGTTGTGTATCGAGCAGAACTGAGGCTCTCCAGGAGCATCAGTTAATCCTATTGCTATTGCCATCAAACTTGGTGGCCTGCTACAACAGTGTTACAGCGCTGGTGGATAAGGGAAGAGCAACTGACACTATCTGGACTCATCCAAAGCATCTGACACTGTCCTGCACATCATCCTTGTCTCTAGATTGGAGAGATCTGGATTTGACGGGTGGACCACTCGGTGGATAAGGAATTGGCTGGATGGTCACACTCAAAGAGTTGCAGTCATCGGCTCCACGTGCCTTGGATGTGCCACAGGGGCAGCATGCGGTGGGAAAAACACCACATTGTATATGGGCTTCTCTAAGAGAATCTTATGTGAAATAAAGATTACAAAAATAACAGCAATTTACTCACCACTCATCACAAAAACACCATTTCTGTACTGCTGCAAATACTTAATTGTGTATATTCTCATCATGTAAATAATATTCAAAGCCTGATCTGTGTCTGGAGTTCGACACCTTCACGTAATTTAAGAAAGGGTTTTCATGCAACTTGGTGTTAGTTTTTCTTTTGTTTTTAGTGTGATGGTTTTAGGGGGATGCTCCGTCACAAATAAAAGACCATTTGCAACGTATGCTCGCAAAAGGAAACCAGAACCATGTGGTTTCTGAATTCTACTAAACATTCTTGCAATATTTGTGCAAATATCAATACATACCTATTGGATTTCTATATTTGTAACACAGACCAGGACCATTCGAACTACGTTCCACAGTTGCTCTTTACAAGAAATACGATTTTGGTGTTAGTTCAGCCTGAAACTCAACGGAGAGCTGTCCAGAACTCCTGCAACTTCTGCTGCAGAGAAACCAACTGTTAATTTACAGCCCTTCTTCCCAAATTAGCAGGAGATAAGGTCAAAGGATCCAGACAGTAAGAGAACCACATCAATTACGACAGTACCACGCAAAGGTGAGAGTGCTTGCAGGGGCAGAATGGGCTCTGACTTTTAGCAGTTAATGGTAACAAATTTATCACCGGGTTCCAGCCTGTGCTGTTCTTAGAAGAGTCTCATTAAGTGTTTGCAGCTCTCAGGGACAAAATATAGTGAGAATTAAAGAACCTTCCCTTTCCCTTGTGGGAGACACGGGCCCTGTGCTAGCTCTTTGTGTAGGAAAACAATGAATCTGTTCAAACAAAGCTCACCTCTACCACTCCAGACCTTGAAGATCCAGCTGAGAGTCTGAGGATGCTGGGAGACACCAGGCCAGCCTGCCCACCTTCCACTGAGCTGAGCTGCCAGGGGAAGAAACTAAGCCATTTGTCTCCAGAACCCATTATATGGGCAAGAACAAGTCCAAGCAGGTCCTACTTTAACAGTCCTGCGAGCAGCCACGATGTATTTGTTGGGTTGAAGGCCCAGACAGCAGAGTCCTGAGATTTTTGACAAACCGAAGATGTAAGACAACTCAATATAAAGGCACTTTGCTTTGTGGGGGAGGGTATTACTCAAAAATGCAGGTGAAGTGAGGGAGTACTTTTTTCCTCCCAAAACCTACTTTAGAAAGATGTTTCTGATGGTGAAGAAAAACCCTTCTTTAACCTTCCTTGTGGCTGTCTCATTAGCAGGGCACAGCTTGTCTCAGGAGGAGGATGTAGTGTGAAGAATCTCTAAACTTAGTTGAAAGAAGATTTAAGTTCTCATGTCCGTAGCACTTCACACCACTTCCCCACAATACTCACAGTACTCGTTGAGTACTAACTGCTGGACTCTACTCCAGGTTGTAGAGCTCTTGGGAATCCTCTACAGCAGAAACTCCTTCCTTTATCGTGCTTCCTATTTCTAATGGGAATTTCTCTACGAAACTTTGGGGGATTTGGGGAGGAAAAGCTGTTCAGTGATGCTGCACCGGTTCTGCTGCTGTTTGTTTCATCTTGTGTAAAAAAATGTATTTTTCTGACGATTAAAGATCCTGGGATTTAAATAATAATGAGCAGAGGAGAGTGGGGTCTGGTCTAAGGGGAAAGCACAGCCTCATACCCAGTAATTAGACATTAGCAAACCGTGGTCTGAGAGTGCTTTACAACATTCAATAAATAATTAACCTCACAGCACCCAGTAATGAAGCCGTGCTCCATGCTCGTGCCTTCCAAATTTATTGTCTCAGTTACAACTCTGCTGCTCTGCAGACTTCCACACCATGAGCAGGCAAAGGCAGACCAGAGCTGACAAAGATGACTTGATTTTCCAAGGTTATGGGACAGTCAATAAATGAGCCAGCACTGAAAACCAGGATCCTGGTGCTCTTATCACTAGAATCATTACTAATTATGACAATTAAGTACTTGAATAAAGATGTATTATGGCAATATTTTTAGGTCATTAGAAGTCATAATCATGTGTTCTTAGGTGGCAGTTAAATCACTCACTAAAAGGCAAGGTTCATATTATTTCATTTATGCAAAATGACTAATAGTTTTCCAAGTGAAAATCCACAGATGAGGAGAAAGCAGGTCAGCAAATTTCCACGTTATACTTCATAATGCTAATTACTGATGATAGATGTTCTTCTCCTCTTGAACTTATTTTCCCTGGAAACTGTCAGCAGGATCTGGACTTCTTCACTCAAGTAAATCCTTGAAACAATTTCATTTTCTTGTAATTTATCTTACAAATTCTACGTATCAGTTAAAATTTCTTTAATTTTTACTGCACTGACATAAGAAGATGAGATCAAAGATGGGCAGAAATGAGTGAATTTCCTCTTTCATGAGCTTGCTCTGAAAATCTCTGCCAGCAAACAAACTGTGAAGCGTAACTTTTATGTCCTAACTCAATTTCAGCTTTCATGAACTCTCTCTCTGATCCTGAGAATTAACTCCCCTTCTATTTTTTTCCCACTACCATATAAAAATGCACATGTTGCAATATTAAATTCACAGGGGTAATTAATGAGGAAGTTCTTGCTGGTGCTTGGCTCAAAAGGAGCAAAATCTGGTTTGTCAGTTTTCTGCAAAATCTCAAGAGATTATTATTCCCTTCTGATCCTCAGCTAGCATTCTAATTAATTAAGAGTAAGTTTAGAAAACAAGAAAAAATAAAATCAAATTTTAATTGCATTCACATTTTGCAGGTACACTAGAATGAAGCAAAAGCAAGCAGGCAGACGTGGCCCCCACTTTGAATGTTAGTGATACTAAAGAGCTTTCAAATGGAGAGTTTTTCATTTGTGAAATTTATGACCTAATAGACACATCACAGAGACTTAATCTGAACACATGACCTACCTCCATGCCATGCAATGTGGCAAGCTAACTGCTGAAGACAGAAATGATACCCCAGTTTTGCAAGGCACACCTTAAAATTATTATCACTCCACTTTTTCTAATAGCCTGTTGACTGTCACCCATCCCATGTCTCCTCTGCTTCAGGCTTGTAAGTGGATATTATCCATAAAGTAGCCAGTAGTTCACAATTTTTTCTGGTAATACAGGGGGTGAAGAAATCCCACTTACCTCCACTCTTCAGCAGGTGCTGCTCCTCTTCCTTCAGCCTGTTCTGCATAAGATGTAGCATGTTTGCTGCTTCCTGTAAGAGGTAAAACCAACGGAATTAGGAGAGCTGCCACATTGCTCAGTCGAGTAGCTAACTGGATGGTCCTACAACAACAGTTAAGGGCACTCACAGGCTGAATGAGAACAGAAAACTTCAGCACTGAAAACATGTTATGAAAAAAAGGTCTGAATCGAAACATGGGAGCTCCTACTCACTTTGCCCATGAGGGTCAGGTTATAAAGCAGGCACCCAGGTGAAACAGTGCCCTGAAAATCAACCATGCATTCCCACCAGCTGCAACCTCACTTATCACATTGAAAATGAATTCAGTTGTCTTCACCCAACAGAAAATTACTGCCCTTACAGAATGAAAGGGCTTTTCTTTGGAAAGCAGTCTTTGGCAGTTGTTTTCAACCAATACATCATCAAAAACTTCATTGCGAAACAACCGCAGCTTCGTCATACACGAACCAAACCAGGATAAATTCACACATTTCCACTTACGCAAACGAAATGGGAGGAAAAACCCCAATCCATAAGCTGGAGAAGTACAGCCATATACTACAGTCCAGTATCCAGGTGCAAAGGAGGACGAAGCCAGTAAGGCTGCACAAGGAGATCTGTTGATTTTGTTTTCTGAATACAGCAGGTTGTCAGATAAAAACATGCTGAGAAACACTGTCGTGATGACAGTAGGATAAAGTCACGACAAACGCGGTTCGGAGCAAGTGGAAAAAGGCAGGTCCAACAGTGGCTGCTCTGCTGAGGAAGAGAAGGAAATAACAAGTCTCAACCCACTCAAACGAAGGCCAGCGATAACAGAAAATGCTGCAAAAAGGCCCACAAGGACTTATAAAACCTAAATCTTGCCCAGTCAACCAAGTAAGAAACGTGACAGCCCAGAAGGGAAGAAGGAGGCTGGTGGCAGTGGTGGTTAAAATAGACATTCTCATTCCAGCATAATGGATGAGTCCGAAAACATGGCTGGCTCTGCAGACACTAACTGATGAGAGTAATTTTAATCTGCACTTGCAGAGCATCACAGACCAGGCAGACTGAAGGGACTGTTTGATTGCTGAACACCACAAAGCAATCGTAGGGGGTGTTGCGCTGAGTTCACAAAGTTCTCTGGCCAGGTAGGACTCAAATCCAGCAAAGATGCCAAGATCCTGAATTTTAGGAACTAAGGTTCACTATTCCAATAGCAGCATCAGACAGAAAAATAGGGTTTTAGGGATCTCTAGTTTAAGTTTGGGTAATGTTAATGGTGAACAGCAAACTAAACTATCAGTAGAGTAGGCAGGATGTGAATGCAGACAATCAGGTTCAGATAGAACCTACAACACTAAACAGGTGGTAAACAACGGATGGAAGGATTTAGCCACAAATTTTGCAAGCTTTAGGCTCTTCTACAATTCCGGTCAAGCAAGACAAGTAGATGAGAACACTAATTGACTGTGGATTGAACTAAGATTTTTCTGAGCCTTTGATTGTCTTTGCAAAATATTCATACAGTTAAAAAAAAAAAAAGACAGACACCGGTTGCTCTGACATGGTCAAATCTGCACATTTACAGTGCACTTGCAGAAAGGAAACAGAGGCTTAGCTGGAATATCCGTGGGAGAGAGGGAAGTAAGAAGAAAATCTGAAAATGGTTCAAAGGTGGGCCATTTTTTTACACTTGCCAATGGAAATGCGTATCCATAGGCATGGCAATGCAAGCTGAGAAAGGACAATCTCCTCCCACCAACCTTTAGGCAAACCACCAAGTCCCACCCAGCACACAAGGAAGTTGCTGGAAACAGGCCTGGGGAGCGGCTTTCATGATGCATCATGACTTGGCATAAAGGTCTGTGTCTTGGGAGTTGAAATTCACGCTGAAAAAGCTTGCAGAGAAGATGTTTACAGGTGGCAAAGGGAAGTGACAGAAATCCCCTGTACCGAGTGAGAAATCCAGTCCGGTGCCTTTCTCAAGGCCCCAGAGGGAATAAATTCTGATTCAAAAATCTGCTTTGGGCACCTATGCAGAGTGTCTGCTGTACAAACGCTCCAGGACTAATACAGACGATGGCCCCACAGATGTTAGGAAGACTGGAAGTGATTGCTTGGGATTGTAGAAATAACACTGCAAAACATATAGAAAGTAACATAAATTACAGAAATAACGCAGCAGGCATGACGGCTTCCAGGGCTATAAAGCAGAAAGGTCACGATGCAAAATCATGCTGAGTAAGACACTCCAGCAGCAACTTGCAACCATATTGAAAACCCTGAAGTGATGGATATATATTCTCCAGGGAGAAGCACGTTCCATCTGCAAGAATGAAGAAGGAAAAGACACAAGCATCTTTTTATGACTGTTTCAGAACGTTTTAAATACCTTATTTAGAAGACTGCTCTTCTTTATTAATCCCTTCTATAGGGAACAAAGGACAGTGAGGACAGAAGAGTGTGACTGGAGATGAAACCAAAGGGAAGATGCAAGGATGCCCCAGCAACCATTTACAACACGGCCTCCCCAGCGCTACGTCTCTGGGACAAACGGAGTGAGTGAGGGCTCAACCAGCCCCCTGAACCTCAACCCCCAGGGTTGCCCCCTGCGCAGCGCATATGGCAAAGAAAAGCTACGGGAAGGAAAAAAACAAAGGACATTTCCCAAATGTCACAGGGATAAATTCATAAACCCAGCAAACATTTAAAAAACGTTCACAGACCACTGAAACGCTGGGTACAGATATAATCAGTGCCTCATACTGTAACGCCAGGCACAAGTTAAGAGAGCTGAAGGTGGCAATCCAAATCCCTCCCTGCACCCCGCGCCGCTCGCTCCTTCCCTTTCATCACCCTCCCGCTCTGGTGCGAGCATTTGCGCAGCGACACACAAGAAACCTGGTGAAAATTAATCCATCAAAACAAAATTAAGCCAGGTGAATTCTCTGCAGCAGTTCAGCGGGTGGCTGGGCAAATTCTTGACTGGCACAGTGGAGGACAGGGAGGTGCAGTCGTGGGAAACATAATGGTGATAAGATGGGGTACTCTTTGTTTCAGCTTCAGTGCTGGTTTATGGACTTAAAATACAAGATAAATTAAGTCCAAGAAGATGGTTTAACCACACAGATGAGCTGCTTCTCCCTCTTCCCTTTAGCCCCTTACTCGTGCTGGTGCCAGCAGCTCAGCTGACCTTGTACCACGCCAGCCCAGACTTAACTGGGAGGAAAACGTAGATTTTTCTACCGGTTTAGATTTCCGAGTAGCTCAATACACGGTTGGTCGAACGCTGCTGTCAGCCCAAGGCTGCTGCTGAGACTGTACATGGTCCCTTTCACCAGTAGCCCATCGCCGCCCCAGTTTGGCTGCGCTGCCAGGCTACACCCTGCAAAAGCTTATCGAAAACTGCAGCAACAAAACCTGTTTCCAAAGGGCAGTCCTAAACCAGTATGAACCAGAAAGCTGTTTACAATTCATAACAAGTAAGATCTTCAAAGGAGGCAGCAGAAGTGATGGCAGATCATATATTTAGAACGTAAACAAAATTTATCATGTAATTATTTAAAGTTATATATTCACTTAAAAGAATCTGCAGAGTCAGTGGCAGCTTCAGCTTCCCTTTCTCCCTGCTGCTTTTAATGACTGCAATCATCAGGCTGCAGTTTACTGGTGTGACTGGCTTCCACCTTCCCTGCAGACACCACTCCCCACACCTCACATCATCTTAACAGACGTGATTTGTATCAGCTCAGCGAAAACAAGGCCATGCTAATCAGAGATGGTTTTTGGTTCTAGGCTGGCCACTTCTGGGTGACCCAGGGCTTCTGAAACATGACGAGGCAGAAAAGCGAAGGGTGTGATGACCATAGAATCACAGAATGGTTTGGGTTGGAAGGGACCTTCAAGCCCATCTAGTTTCCAACCCCCTGCCATGGGCAGGGACACCTTCCACTACACCAGGTTGCTCAAAGCCTCATTCAACCTGGCCCTGGCCACTTCCAGGGATGGGGCAGGACTCTTTAGGTACTGAAAGGCTGCTGGAAGGTCTCCCCGGAGCCTTCTCTTCTCCAGGCTGAACAACCCCAACTCTCTCAGCCTGTCTCCATAGCAGAGGTGCTCCAGCCCAAAGCATCATCTTCGTGGCCTCCTCTGGACCTGCTCCAGCAGCTCCATGTCCTTCTGATGTTGGGGACCCCAGAGCTGAACGCAGCACTGCAGGGGGGTCTCCCTTGACCTGCTGCCCACACTGCTTTGGATGCAGCCCAGGACATGGTTGCCTTTCTGGGCTGCCAGCACACGGTGCCGGCTCATGTTGGGCTTCTCACCAACCAACACCCCCAGTAACGCTGCGGATGCTCTTTCAACACTTAACATCGTACTCAGGCTAGCGCTGCATGCAGGACAACAGTCAGGTTTTCTGCGTAGAGGGACAGAGTGACAGCTCCATGAAACAAGAGACTTGGCCTTGACCTTACAAAGCACTGGTGGGGAATGGCCTGGGTGCCTCGGGACGCTGTAGGGGCAGAAGCCAACATTTCAGGGCCCTGTTCAGTCTCTCCAGTATCAAACAAGACTGAAATGCTGCAGGCAAACACTGCACATATCTTACTCTGCAAATGAACTTTACCCAAATGAAGTGGCAGCACACGCTGTGTAACCACAGTGACAAATTAACACAATCAAAGTGCCAGTCAACACAAAGGCAGGGCCAGCCTGCCCCGTCAGGGGGGGCTCCCCAGCCTTTCAGGACACCAGAGATTACTGAGGATGAAAATCCTGCTTTGGAGGCAAACAGATCTCTGCTGAGATGGAACTTTTCCTCCTCTGTCTCATCTATTATGCAGCCTTTTCTGGGTGTAAATCTGCCCTTTAACGAGTAATAAATCAATCACTTTGCAAACTCAGAGCAGCCAGCCTAGTGAAACGGGGAGCACGGCAGAACATTGTGGCCAACATTTAGACCTGCAGAACAACCCCAGCTCCAAGGGACCTTCAGAAGTCCCCAGCCCAACCTCCTGCTAAAGCAGGATCAGCAACAGGATCAG